AAAAAAAAAAAAAAAAAAAAAAAAACAACATCAATTGGATCATCAAATTTTGGCAGTGGGCACAATGTTGTTAGCTTTCTAATGAGTGAATAATGGTTTTGTTTGTTCCTGTATCTTTTTTTTTTTAAACATATTTTTTATTTTAAAATTGTGGGGTACAGTTAAGGGTTAGGTATACAAATATGCATCGTTCAGGCACCCTTGTTGATAAGGGGTGTCCCCCATCCCCAGATAGATATTGACTACTGTTAGTCTCACCACCCTTGCCCTCCCTGCCCCCCCATAGATTCCCACCACTGTCAATTCCTTTATTACAGTATTATAATAGATGTTCAAGGTCCACTTATGAGTGAGAACATGTGATACTCAGATCTTTGTTGCTGTGAAAGATCACTCAGTATTAAAGACTCTAGTTCCAACCAGGTGGCTGCGAAATTCATGATTTTGTTCTTTTTCATAGCTGTGTAGTATTCCATCATCTATATGTACCACATTTTAAAAATCCAGTCCTCTTTTGATGGACAGCATGGTTGGTTCTAGGTCATTGCTATTGTGAACAATGCTGTGTGCAGGTATCTTTTTCGGAGAGTGGTTTGAGTTCTTCAGTGTATATTCCCAGTAGGGGGATTGCGGGGTCATATGGGAGGTCGATTTTTAAGCTTTTAGGAATCGTCACACTGCTTTCCACAGAGGCTGTACTAGTTTATACTCCCACTAACAGTCTAGAAGTGTTCCCTTTTTGCCACATCATCTAAAGCATCTGTTATTTTTTGAGTTATTGATAATTGCCATTCTGACTGGAGTTAGGTGGTAGCTCAGTGTAGTTTTAATTTGCATCTCCTTGATGATTAGTGAGGTTGAACATTTCTTCATGTGTCTATTGGCCGCTTGGATGTCTTCCTTTGAGAAGTATCTGTTCATATCTTTTGCCCACTTTGTGATAAAGTTGTTTGTTTTTATCTTTTCAGCATGTTTGAGTTCCTTGTAGATCCAAGATGTTAGCCTTTGTCAGATATGGAGTTGGAAAATACTTTTTCCCAATCTGTGGGCTGTCTCCCTGCTCTCTTGATGGTTTCTTTGGCTTTGCAGAAGCTTCTCAGTTTAATGAGGTCCCACTTGTCTTTCTTATCTCTTATGGCTCGTGCATTTCGGGTTTTGTTTAGGAATTGAATGCCAGTTCCAATTTCCATAAAGGTATGTCCTACATTTTCTAAGGTTCTTATGGTTTGAGGTTTTACATTTAGACCTCTGATCCATTTAGAGTTAATTTTTGTGTATGTGAATAGATAGGGATCTTTTTTGAGTGTTCTGCATGTGATCAGCCATTTTTCCCAGCACCATTTACAGAATAGGTTCTCCTCTCCCCAGTGGTGGGTGGTGGAGGCTTTGTCGAAGATAAGTTGGTTGAGAAATTGAGGTTTTGCTTCTGGACTCTCAATTCTATTCCATTGGTCTATATGCCTGTTCCTGTACCAATACCAAGCTGTTTTGATTATTGTAGCTTTATAGTAAAGTTTGAAGTCTGGTAATGTTATACCACCTGCTTTGGGTTTTTTTGCTAAGGATTATTCTGGCTATTCTTGGTCATTTGTGTTTCCATGTGAATGCCTATATTGTTTTTTCTTGGTCTGAGAAGAATGTTGCTGATGATTTAATGGGTATTGCATTAAATCTGTAGATTGCCTTAGGTAAGACGGACATCTTCACAATGTTGATTCTTCGAATCCTTGAGCATGGGATATTTTTCCACTTGTTTGTGTCATCTTTTATTTCTTTGAGCAGTGTTTTGTAGTTTTCATTGTAAAGGTTTTTCATGTCCCTGGTTAGGAAGCTGCCAAGGTATTTCATTTTTTTGTGTGGCTATTGTGAATGGGATTGTGCTTTTTAGGTGGTGCTCCTATGTTGGGTGCATATTTGTTTAAGATGAATATTTCTTGTTGATGGATTGAACCTTTTATCCTTATGTGGTGGCCTTCTGTATCTTTTTAAATTTTTGATAGCTTAAAGGGTACTTTGAGATTAAGATTGGAACTCCTGCTTTCTTTTGTGTTCCATTTGCCTGAAAATTTGTTTCCCATCCTCTTACTTTGAGTCTGTGAGTGTCCAATCTAGTGAGGTGAATCTCTTGAAGGTAATAGATTGTTGCCTGGTGATATTTTATCCATTTTTCCATTCAATGTCTTTTCAGTGGTGCATTTAGTCCATTCACATTCAGGCTAATTATTGAAATGTGAGTGTTGATCCCTATCATAAGGTTCTTACAGAGTTATTGCTGTTGTTCCTGTTCGTTTATTGTCTTTCTTTTGGTTTTGGAGTTGGTTCATGTGTGTTTTTAATCTTTTGCTTGTATTCTTGTGAAGAATGTTGTTCTTTTTCCCTTTTCTTCTGTGTTCAGTACTTTCTTAAGTGTTTCTTATAGAGGTGGTCTGGCGGCAGCATAGGTTCTTAGGGATTGGATATCTGGGAACGATTTCAATTCTCCCTCACTGATGAAGCTTTACTTGGCTGGGTAGGTTATTCTTGGTTGAAATTGTTTATCTCTTAGAACTTCAAAGATAGGGCTCTAAGCTCTCCTAGCCCGGAGGGTTTCTGTAGTTACATCTGCTGCTATTCTAATTAGTCTTCCCTGGTAGGTAGTCTGACCTTTTTCTCTTGCTACCTTTAGGATTTTTTTCTTTTATACCTATTTTTTAAGGCAAATTATTATGTGTCTGGGAGTTGGTCTTCTCATTTGTTGTCTTGCAGGGGTTCTCCGAATCTCTTGTGTTTGAATTTTTGCATCAATGATGAGATGAGGGTAGTTTTCTTGAATGATTTCATGAAATGTTTGTTCCAGTGTGCCCTCTGTTTCTCTCTGCCTCAGGAAGGCCAATTACTCTTAGGTTTTTTTCTCTTGAAGTAATCATTCATCTCTTGACAGTTTTGTTCTGTCTTTTTTAGTTTCTTTTCTATGCTTTTGACAGTTTGGGTTAGTTCTGTGTTTTGATCTTCAAGCTAGAGATTCTTTCTTTTGCTTGGCTAATTCTGCTTTCCATGCTTATTAGTTTGTTATGTATTTCCATCACAGTATTCTTTACTGCTGTTATTTCTGACATCAGCTCCTTCCTATTTTC